GGGGAGCCAATTGCCTCTGGATTGTTTTCATCTTCAGGCTTAGGGCCCAGATTCTCTTTGCAGATTTCTTGAGAGTCAACGCTGTCCTTAACGCTTTCCCTTCCGTCTTTGCCCTTGCTCTCGTCTTCCAGGCCTGCCACGGTCATGGTCAGGATTGCCCTCTTCTTCAGGGACCTCCGCAGGTGCCGCCGCTGGATCCGGAAGGTGTTGGAGATGCTCCCGATGGTCCAGGAGAAGCGGTGGCTGACGCTCTGGTGCAGAGTTTCGGCCGTGGGGGCGGCGGCCATATGGGAGCCCCTCTTGGAGGACTCTTCGGGAAGCAACTCTATGTTGCCGGTGTACCAGGAGATCCACCAGAGCAGGCTGAGGAAGATGATGATGGAACCCAGGTACAGCAGCATGTCATAGAAGAGCAGGTCCGCGAAGACCCCGGTGAACAGCACCGCCACGCCCACCGTGTCGAAGACGACGCCCAGCCAAAAGAAATGCTTGCAGCGGCCCAGTCTCGGCTGCTTCCCCTTGGAATCCACACTGGTTCTTGAAGGCTCCATGTTCTGCCACTGTCGGCACCACCAAGACCGTAGGAGGACACCAGGCCCGCCGCTCCGCCACTGGCCCACTGGGGAGGGGGAGAGCGCTGGGTCCCCATAGCAACGCGAAGGGCGGGGCGAGAAGGGAGGGAAGTTAGGCCCCACCCTAGCGCAGAGAGGAAAAACGATGTTGGGGGAGGCGCGCCTGCGGCTGCGCGGTAGCCCCGCCCGCGCGTGCGTCATGTTTTCCTAGGGTCTGCTTCGCCCTCTTCCATCCGGGAGGAGGTTCCTCCCCCGTGGACCCGCGGAATGGTATCTGCCTCTGCAGCGCGGGGACCGAGGCAGATGTATATGAACTTCTCACGCCCCACAGCTTCCTGGGCGAGACCCTGAAGAGAGCAAAGGGCAAGGACGATCCTCTAGTGATGTCCTAATAGCTGGAGTGCAGCTGATTCTATAGTTAGATAGGTTTTTCTTTTTCTGGTAGTAAGAATGAATCCAGAGCATTTTTCTCTGAGCTGCGTCCCCAGCCTCCCCCCCACCCCGGCACTTTTTTTTGAGACAGGGTCTCACTATGTAGTTGAGACTGACCTGAAACTCACTTT